CCCCAAAACCCCAAAACCCCAAAACCCCTTATAAGGTTAAAGGGGCTGAAGTATATATTATTTCTAATTTGAGATTTAAAAATGATTTTTAAGAGAAAGAACAAAGGTATCCCAGCTTAGGAACTGAAGTAAATAAACCTTTAGGGATTACCAAGCATGCGGGGAAAGTTCAGACAGCCAAAGGTAAAACTTTATAGTCATATCCTTGTGCGTACTTTGGCAGTTCATTTGTTTGAGAGGCTCACATAAATCAGATTGTGATTAGGTGGAGCTAAGGGAATGATAATAGTTATGGAAATTAATTAAATGTCATTTAACATGAAGTCATTTCTTGGTAATCTAAGTACTTACCTCACTGCATGGATCTTAAATTTTGTTCGATAATTTGAAGGAAAATTTAACTAGCTTCACATCAAAGATTCTTCATTTCCTACAACGTACAGCCTAGACCTTGTTTAAAAGGATTGGCTTTCAGCTTCGTCTAGAAGCAAGCATCTAGCCACAGAGCTTGAACTCTTTCTGCAAACTTGGCTTGACAAGTAAAGAGGGTTCACCGAAGTTTTAAGCCCAGCCATTTGATCTTATAAACCCATCACAATTCTTTGATGAAATGATTTATTTGATTGTTCTAGAAATTCCTGTATGTTCTAGCAAAGCTCTGACATGGTTCAGTGTCTCCCAGTTCTTTAGATAGTTAGGGCTGCCAAAATTCTTAGAATATGAGTAATAAAGCGAACAAATGTTAAACTGTCGTTAAGAAAGCATCAATTTATAATTAGGAGTTAGTTTTAATAAAGTATTATCGCACCTAAATGTGAGAAGCCTTGAAACATGTAAGCCCTGTCATATAAATCCAGAAAGCAATTGCCAGATGCTTTTATAGCTTATTAGAATTGCTTCTAAATATTGTAGCCATTTGGTCTTAGCATTGAGTTAAAAATGTTTGCTCTAACAAAAGAATGTAGCTCCTCAGACCAAGATCTAGCTTTGCATAGTCTTTGGGATTGCTAGTCCTTTGTATCACCTAGTAATGCTTGCCTAGCAATTCTTAAGCATGCTTTAACTGCAACAACTTTAGAGTTTTATTAGTTAATAATCTACTCCAAATGTTGTTGACCAAGCCTTAGTAAAAGTGGTTATTCGACATTCGGCCATCCCAACTAAACTTCTGCAGTTGGTTATCCACTAGGACTGTAGTTTTAGTTTTGCCAGCCTTCTAGCTATACCTATTACCACCCTCAATTGTTCTCTTACATTTTTCTTAAGTTATTTATTAAGCTTAGCTTGTATTAATAATAATTTATTCCCAAAGTAAGCCAGCCAGCCCAGCCCCATGTAGTCTCTTCTGCCATAAGAAGGACTCAAGGCCATCAAATGGGCTCATTAAGCAATAATTTCTATGAGGTTTATGCCACCTCAACGTTGTTTGGGAAATTTGTCTTACGTCTTCATAATCGTTCTGTAGTGAATTTAGGTGAATTTGCATGTCCTGAAATGTTCCGCTGAAAAGCAAAATCTGCTGTTTGTCGGCTGAAGCTGATCAATGCCTCGTCACATGATAGAGCATTATGCTCATGGATTTATGAGGAGTTTGAATTGGAGGGTACCTGCTAGACAAGGATCAGTCGATTCTATCTTTTGACTGGGTCTACATATTTAGGATCTTTATAACTTTGGCCAGACCCCATTCTTTTCTAATGGAATATCACAACAGTGATTAATTGGTAATTTAATTGAGTAGCTGTCAGAGGTCAATAAAACCAGCTAGTTTTAGGGACCAAGCAACTGAATCAAGAGAACTCCTTGATAACTCCATGAGGTTGGGTTTTTATAGCCTTGGCCTCAAACAAATCATAAATCTGAGATTGAAATATAGAAAGGCTTTTTCTTTAGTGAACATTAGCTTATATAACCCTGTAGCTGAAGTTTTCTGGGGGATAGCTTATCCCTCCACGAACCTAGTATTTCTTTGGCTGATTTTTCAAGTCAGAGTACCCATTAATAATATATGCTAGTAGACTCTTTTGTGAAGGTAAAAATAAAGCTAAATCTGAAATAAACTTATTGTTTAAATTATGAGATTCATCAGAACTTTTGGAGAGTTGGAAATTAAGAATTCACAAAACTTGTTGACCAAAAATTTATGATCGTTAAATAAAATTTTGTAGTTCAGCTATTTTAATATAACAATTATGGACTATAAAGCACATCGATAGCTGTCCTCTTGGCCTAAGGCTTGAAATAGGTGCCTCATTTTTGAAGCACTAGCTTTATTAAACCCAAAATTTGGCAAGCAAAGGTTGGTCAGACTTTCCAGATAAATTAAAATATTACTTGTTGTCAATTTTTCTTGCTCTCTTACAGTGGATAGTGAGAGTGTCCACAATTTCATGATCAAATTACCTTGAAATATGAAGCTTCTGACTCTCAACTATTTTTGTCAAGTTTGAGGCTAAGTTTATTCAGCAACATTCGTTATTTCATCAAGAATGGCCACTATGAACATCCATTCAAATATTGATGGGAGAAGTCTCCTAGTTCTCAATGTTTAAGAACCCTTGACCCCAAACTATTTGACTTTTTTGGCTGCTTTTGCCTGTAGTTAGGGTACTGATTTTATAATAATTTAGGTATCCAAAATCTTATTCCTTCTGAATTATGAGCTCTTTTTACAAAGCAAGATCTGAAACCAGAGATGCTGATGAGCCAAGGAGGCCAACTCAGAAGCCAACAGCCAACTGAAGGTAATCTGAAAAATAGTGCCAAGATATCTTAAATTCATAGCTTGGACTGGTCTCAGTGGGAATTTTCCCAACTTCTAGATATCTTACAATTAAAATTTGCTTCATGAACCAACATGGATAACTTACCACTCCCATTATTTAATCCTAGCTATAGAGATCAAAGAACTCTCGAGCTTTGTTGATGAGCAAGAGATTAGTAAGACTCCGATCAAAATGGGGAGACCAAGGAAGTTTCCAGAATCTGGGTTCTATACCAAGAACATGAGGCTTGATATTCTTAACAAGAATCTATTAAGAGGGGTCAAAAGATATCTTGTGGGGCTCTTCAGGATATTCTGTATCAACTCTGGACTCTTTCAGTATGAGAGCCTTAATCAAGACTTGCTTCAGTTACAGAGGATGAAATTCGAAATTAATGATGACCTGTTCGAACAAGCCATGCAAGGCTTTGTGCCTTACTTTCTACAGTTAGAGGCTTCTGGGACCGCTAGCTCAGCCTGCCAAACTCTGGGAGACTCAGAGAAGTTGAAGGAGCTACTGACTGTTTTCATTGACCCATCAAAAAGCCTTGACACGAAGTTTCCTGGAACCGAAAAGCTCTTGAAACGCGAATTCCATGGGATGCTCTACGCTTACTCGCACATAAAACTGGAGAGGTTCCTAGTGCTTCCGGAGATGAGATTGCTACTTAACAGAATGCTGAGTGAAGACTCTCTCACCAAGGTTTTATCTACCAATCAGACTTTGAGCATGGAAGAAGACATTTACAGAAAGTGCGCAGAAATGATTCTGGAAAAAGCCCAGAAGCATGAGCAAAGTTTAGTGAGCAATGACTTGTAATATGGTATTCTCAACAAGTTAGCTTCAATTAGGTTTAGAAGCTTGGCTTCAAATTAGTTGTGTAGATTCATATTTATCTGCTACCCAATTTATTATGATTCATCGGCTTATTGCAAAGCATCATTTCACTATCTATACCAGGAGCATAAGTCTTGTTGAACTCTGTGATGCAACAATAGAATATTGTAATTGTCATATCCAAGTTATGAGAGTGAAATTATTTCATCATAATTTAAACCTACCAACTTCTACTGTCTATTATTACAAGAATTATTTATTTAGTTTTAGTCCAAGATCTCCATCCTTCCAATTATGGGTAAATTATTAGTTGTTTCAACAGTAAATTAATCATCTGGGGTTTTGGGGTTTTGGGGTTTTGGGG